CGTTCTCTCTATGCTTTCATACTGCATAGATTTCTGTGTGCCTCTAAATAAAAATTGTATTATTGCTTGTTTGCTAATTTAGAAAACTTTATATTTTAACCAATGCCATGTTTAAAGGATCATATCAGATCCGTACAGTTTTACACAAGACATAGAGAGATTTGACTTTTACTATAATAAGAAGTGCATAAAATCCTATTCGTTGATATATGTAGTTTCTTGAAACCACTTCAGGCTTAGCTAGAAACCATGTCACCGTTTCACCTTGGGTTTGGCAAAAAAAATTTGGCGACCACCTTGCAAAGAAATGTTAATATAATAAAATTGAGGGTTTCTATTTAAAATTTCGTTTAAGCCGGTGATTATTAAAGTAACCATAATATTAATAGATAAAATATTATCAACATATACCGGATGTCTACTTTCAGTTGTCCATAAATACGTAAAGTTTTTATTTTTGCAGATCCTATAATCGAATTGATTTTTTGGTTTGAAATAATGTATTTTTTAAATTTAAAATTTTCTTATTTTATTTAGACTTTCCTTTTGGATCATAAAAGTTGTTGCTTAAACATTTACTGATTCCACATAAATTCGAGACCCACTGCAGCCCCTGTTATGTAGAAAAGAACATAATGTGTAAGTTTTGTTCAAATTTCGCGGATGGATGTTTTTAATGTTCTTGATTTAACCCAGAATTCGCTAATATGTTACATTGAAAATGGGGGATATGAATGTTAGTATCGACTACGGATTCTGTATTTTAGATAGAAGAAGGGATCACAATAAGCAGTTTTTGATGCTATGTAAAATCAAACAAACGATTATTTTCATAAAAAATAACTTTTTACAGTTTTTTACACACATAAGTGTAGAGACCTTGTGTGTATATAATTAATATATGACATAATATCTATTGAAGTTTTATAGGCTATTTCAGAAAAGTGTAGAGTAGTAAAATGATAAATTTCACCAAGTTCTGCTCAATTTCGGTGTCGGTCATTTCTTAAGATAATTGTGAAGAATATTTTTTATATAAAATTCAGGAGAAAATAAGGGTACCTAATCCTGTGTGACTAATTTACTTGTACTCGAAAAAAAGAAAGAATTTTGCAATGACATCAATGCCAAACAATCAAAGTGGCTTAAATATTCGTTGAGTTGTTTTGCATACTTAATAAATGAAATATGTTTGAAATTAAAAAAAGAAGATTATTAAAAATTTGTTATTTAACTTTTCATGGGGTCCAAAAATATATGAAAAAACCTTGGTGGTGTTTTTCAAGAGAGCACGTCGGATGTATCTCAAAAATGAATGACGGAATATATATTTTTTTACTCCAGTCTGTAAAATACCTAATTACGCACCGATCTAGCGTGTGGGAAGCGTCGCTTTACCACGTCAGTTTCGTTTCCCACGAATCCGAGCCACTTCGGACATTTTCGGGATTTTACCGCACGGATTTGGGACCAATCGGATGTTTTTGGGGATATTTCCCACGCTTTGAATTTTGACGTTTGTCAATTCTGACAGTCACGTCAGTGAATGTATTCGTGTTTTGCGAAAATGTAACTAAAAATTAACAGTCGTAGAAAAAGTATAGAATGCAACACGTCCGGTAAACTTTTTAACTCACTCGTTTATTAAACACTCGTTCCGCTCGTGCCAAATAAACTCGTGAGTCAAATGCCGTTTACCGCACTTGTTGCATAATATACTATTTTCTACTCCCGTCTGTAAAATACCTGATTACCCACCGATCTAGCGTGCGGGTAGCGTTACTTTACCACGACAGTTTCGTTTCCCACGAATCCGAGCCACTTCGTGCATTTCCGGGATTTTACCACACGGATATTTCCCACGCTTTGAATTTTGACGTTCGTCAATTCTGACGGTCATGTCAGTGAATGTATTCGTGTTTTGCGAAAATGTACCCAAAAACTAACGGTTGTAGAAAAAGTATATAGTATGCAACACGTTCGGTAAACTTTTTAACTCACTCCTTTATTAACAACTTGCTCCGCTGCGCTCCGCTCGTGTCAAATTAACTCATGAGTCAAATGCCGTTTACCGCACTTGTTGCTCAATATCTATTTTTATCTATTTATCATTAAGTGTGAAGTTTTTAACATCCTTACATAGTAAAATTAAGTGTGATGAAAACCGCGCCGTGTCACAAGCATCCGACGGTAGCTCTACAACCGGAACATCCCATCTTCCTTATTCCAAAAAGTTGACTGGTTTATGTTAAGAGTTATCGCATAACTTAAGTTGCAGTTCTTGAGCCTTATTTCATTTTAGCGAGAGCTCGAATCTTCAATGAAATTATTAAGGAAACTTTTGTCACTCGTCTATGTCGTTTAGGTTCGGAATAATGTGAGACATTATATTTATCAAACGTATCAATAAATCTGTTATCGCGATAGGTTTAGTGCCAAATAAATTGTTATATCTTAATTAATGAAGTGGCGTAACCGATTTTGTGTCATTTTTTTCCACAATTTTAATTAATTAATTTTAATATTCAGATACTTATTTCCTATTGAATAAAATACCTTATATGAGCCAGAAACAAAATATAGCAATTCTATTTAAATGAATCTTAATTTATTAAGCCTAATATTTAGAGTTATATCTGATATTATAGATTCCTGACAGTTTTTAAGGTAAATAAGTACCTAAATAATCCAAGATCAATGTAGAAATTTCTAACACCTTTTGTGTCTATATTGGAAAAATTTCACAACTTACAAAGTGGTGCAAAAAAATGCCCCTATCGAATATACAATATTTAAAATTATTTAACTGGTGATAGAGAACTTTTATAAAAAGTAAGATTGATAGGATAGGATAAGCGATTTCTAAAAAAGTTAAATCTGAAAGGTAAACTTTTTGATGCTTCAGTAATAAATAATAAAAAAAATGATTTTTTAACGCATCTTAACTAATTTCGGTATAAAATTATACAGGGCGTTTACTAATTGAATGTTAATAATTAAGGGGGTGATTTTTGGGTCCATTTTAAAAAGAAAACTTCATGTGAACATATGCCCTAACCGTCTTAACTTTTGAAATACGGGGTGGTAAAGTTATATCGTTAATACGACAGCATCCAGAAAATTATTATGATTATTATTTCTTACTTAAGTATTCTATAGTCAAGGCGGGTGTTTCATATAAGTTTTTAAATTCAGTTCTTCGCATCTTATTAATTTGATGTTCAAAATCTCCGAGCCTTGTTATTTTATATAAGAATGGTCTAGTTTACTAATGAGGAGTTTTGAATTTTACGTATGGTTTGGCTGATGGCAGTGCACCGAAAGCTAGGCGATTATATGAAGAGCAGAGTAGAGTCATAGCAGATAGGCGGACATTTTCAAATGTAGATAGAAGATTGACTGAAACGGGTACTTTGAGGATAAACAATCATTGAAAACGGGCTTTAGGAACTATAGAAATTGAAGGAGCAATTTTAGGAACTACAGAAATTGAAGGAGCAATTTTAAATTCTATTTCTATTTCTACTTTTATTCATAAAAGGTTGTTATTAATTTATTAACAGATAATTTTGCTAAAAATTATTAATAGTTGATAGCGTTTTTATTTAAATAAGAATCGTTTATTATTTATTTTGTTGTAAGGATCTTATGTTATTTCATTAAAACTGTAAAAATAAAATGAAGAGTCTCCTAATTTTTTTTCTGAAGGATATAGATATTCTATTCTCGATATTTAACCAGTGCAATGGCGACCTAATTAACAGAATTATTATTTGTTCATTGACAGTCAGTGGCACGCCACTGATTTACATAAGAAGTTGCATTTGCATTCATTTATGAGCAGATTTAGTTTTTTTAATCGGTAGCACTGTTTTCACATTGGAGAGTGTAGGAATAATTTTAATTTGAAGTGAAATGAGTGGCGTACCATCAAGGTCTGCCAAATAGACAGGTGAAATTCAGTACGTCCGCCACTGGTGTAATAATGCCTCTTGATATATAATAAATCTGTGCCAAATTTTTATATGGTGTTACATATAAAAAAAAATATTTCATTTTTGAAAACTTTATCACCTCAAAAGACATATGATCATAAGAAGTGTTATTTTTAAAATGGACAGAAAAATCGCCACTTAATTATTGACGTTCAATTCGAAAACACTCTGTATATCAGTATCAAAGCTCATAAGAGCACGTGGGTTAAAGTTTATGCTACCTACCGCAAAATAACAACTGCGCGCTTATTTAGAGTCCGAACAACTTATTATATTTATGCAAACACGTCAAAATGTCAGGAAAATGCAGAAAAATTTAGATTTATTTTATAATTCAAGGTACCTACTGTCTGCCCGTTAAGGAAAAATTAATACGACCTGAATTTTACTTTAATGGCAATGAAAACGAGCAGACAGAGATTTTATGAAGATTAAAAACTTTGCTTGGGAAAAAGTAGCGCCTAAGATTGTTATAATAAACACATCATTATATAAAGAAAATATAAAGAAGATTCTCAAATAATATCTAATAAATACCCTATAATATCCAAAGAAGACAATTACGTAGACCTAGTTAAATTAATTTAATACACTGGTGATATCTTTAATGAGAAAAAGGATCCAAGAATTTTCTGGCAGTTTAAATGTTGAAGTCAATTACAATGAAATCTCGATGGAATATGTTTTATATGAAATATTTAATAATTTTATAGATCGGTTCTCCGATATACAGAATGTCCTAGAAGTGTATGGTTATGTTAATGATTGATAACTTTTTAACCATCAACAATTTTAAGCAACATCTCACTGTACATCAGAGAAGCGGTCTATTAATTAGGCTGCTATTAATAGAACCACATTAACTTCATATTTATTAATGGAGGAGGAGGAGGAAAAAGAGCTTCGCCTATGCCAATCCAACGTTTATGCACCTTTATCAGGATTTCAGTCAATGGTATAAACAGTGGGTAAGAGAGTGAAGTAAAATACCATTGTTTTACTTACCTCTCTCTCTGAGACGAATCCGATGTGTCAATTCGAGCCCTTTTGACCTGAAACGAAGCAGTCAAACTTAAGTTTAAGGTTAAGTGTGTGATTTACATAGTAAGTATAGATAAAATTATTATTTTTGTTGTCTGAATTTCAGTCAAAAAAAGGCAGTTCAGCAAAATATTTCTAACGAAATAAATATGTTGATGATAGCAAGCGTCATTAGTATCTGAATACTAAGAAAGTATAACACGTGAAACCAGATGAATATAATTCACTAAATTGGGACCTCAAATAAATCATTCAGAAAATGCCAACCTCGCAGCATAGTAATTTATCTGTTTCAGATGCCGAATAATTTTCGAGATAATTCTCCCAAATGCCGACGAATAGGTCTCGTTCTTTGGTAACTCCAACCTTCTTGTTAACCGGTATTGTGAACGAAAAAATATATTATTAAAAAAAAAAATGTGTATCATATAGATACATACATATATAAAATGCGAGTGGAACATTGATTTATGCGAAACTTTTTGGGGTTTATTTTAAACACGTTTCCGACAATAAATAATATAATAACATTGCTAAAAGCTAGGTTCGAAGTGATTTCAACTCTCTTCAATCTAAACGCCTCTGCATAATTTCTTTTTAGATTTTCAATCGAGTTATCACTGTTTGGTAGAGGACTGTTCTATTTTTTATAATTTCGCAATTAGGCATTGTTAGAATTGTAAGAATGAAAGGACATATGGCATACTTATAGTTTTTGAAGTTGTAAAAGCTTTATGTTAGATCGCAAAGTTTTTCGAACATACCCCTAAACTTTTTTCATTTTTTAATCATATATATCAATATATTTTGACTTTTATTATTTATATTTTCAATTCTTTCGGCTTTTAATATTTTTTATGGCAGCAAAGGTCCATTGAAATAAGCAAGACCTTGAGAGTGATGACTGCGTTTACATTTTGGTCTAAAATATATATTTTCTACTTACAGAATTATTAATAAAATAAATACTACTACATATTGGTCGAATATGAAAAGCAGCAAATACGTTATTTTCCTTACAACTGAGTAAAAGAGTTCTCAAACTATTTCCAGTTTTTCGCGATTTTTATTGTTTAGAGCCTAACTTTAGCCATTTTGGTTCGCCTAGACCGCACCCTTTTTGAGCACTGTTTGTGGATGATTTAAAATTCAGTGCAAATATTTAAAGAATGTATTTTTGAGATAAAATTTTAAAAATCACACAAATGTATTTATCGGGTTGTTTCAGATGATCTATAATTCTGATGACTGACATTTACCCTTTCAAAACAGCTATCCTCTATCAAAAACCTCAATTTCTAAATTTTTGATTGTAAATCGCACAAAATAGCCAAGTTTACAGTCAATTTTTAATTAATTAGAACAGTCCCACAAAGAACTACCAGGTGGTAGATAAATGAAAGAGGTACGTAAATTGTCCATTACAAACGTATAAGAGTTGCCTTGATCGATTTTAGGTTATTTAAACCCAAAACAAATAAAAAAAAAACCAAACCGCAACTTCAATCGCTAAATCCTAAACGATTACAAAAAATAAAAACGATACCTTAGGTTCACACATCTTGTCTATCATGGTGCACCTCGAGGTCTGGGTATTTAAATAGTTGCAGGGCATTAAAGTCACCATCTTCGGGGTACCTATTGGTACCTTTTAGTCCGCGATATCACTACATTAGCCACAAGGTACACTGGTTCTGCAGAATATTCACGAACAATCACTATAATCGATCACTAAACGAGAAACGAACCGACATCGAGATTGGTGCACTGTCAAACAATATTAGGAATTTGTTACAAAAAAAACATTGGGCGAGGGTGTTATATTTGTTATACCGTCAAATGTACGGGCGGATGTTAATGCATCTGCCTTCGCCTGAAACCTGAGCCGATTCTTGTTGTTCGGTCGGTATAAGATCGACTGCAGCTCTCCGAGCCATTCGAGGGGCGCTGAAACAGCTCTCCCCTCTCGTGGAATAAGGATAAACTATAGCGGAGACTCCGTGACCAATGGACGTGAGCTAAAAACCGGGTGTCGAATGGTAGGCGGGACTCCGTTCGTCTTGTTCATGTTTAATTTGCATAACTTGGAAGTGCAATTTTTGAGATAGTTCCTTTTTCAATTATTTTATTATTGAGCGATTTCGATGGCTTTTAGATTCAGAGAATTTGTCGTCGCTTGTCTGGCGATGATTGCTTGGGACTTCTGATATGGTATTGGGCTATAATGTTTTGTTAAGGGAGGACTTTTTGTGGAGGTGTTTTTAGACATTTTGCAAGTAAATACAAAGAAAAAAATTGGATAGATCAAATTTGCTATTGGCGCTAACCGGTAATAGTATATGATGCAAACGGCATTTGAGTCACGACGCTATTTGACACGAGCGGAACGAGTGTTTAATAAACGAGTGACATCAAAAGTTTACCAAACATGTTACATACTATACTTTTTCTGCAACTAGTTTTTGAGTACATTTTTTTAAAACAACTCGAATGACATAACCCTCAGAATTGACAAACGTCAAAATTAAAGCCGTGCGGGAAAAACTCCGAAAACCTCCGATTGCTCCCAAAATCGTGCGGAAATATCGCGGAAATATCCGAAGTGGCTCGGATCCATGGAAAACGAAACTTGCGTAGTAAAATGACACTTTCCGTCCGGTAGATCGGTGTATAATTAGGCATTTTACAGGCGGGAGTAGAAAAAGACGTTTTTTGGAAGATTTTCTCCATAGCACTTTTCATAATCGCGTCGTATTTCTCAAAATAAGAAAAATGGTGAAAATTATTAAGTAACTAAATTCAAAAAAACTGGATCCGTTACTGTTGTAAAGAGAACTACGAAAAAATATAAATGCCGCTTCAAGCTCTATTAATTTTGCAATCGGTTAATGAAAACCCTACACTCTCCTTTACAAAACGAGCACAAAGTTACAGTCTTAAAAAATACTTCAAAAAAATTAAATGTTTGGTGAGCCACTTCTTATTATGGAATTATAATCAACTTTTTTGATAACGAGTGTAACAGACATTTTGCACATGCTGTCATGCTCATTATGCTGCAAATGTCAAAGAATGGCTCTATCCCAAATTTTAAAAATAGATGGACGCGATCGTTCAATTTTATGACTGCCTAGGATTTCCGTTTTGATTAATTCTGATATGGTTCTTTAGAGGCGTTTTAAACAACTGACATATCGAAAACCCATGGACAATTAGCAAGAAGTTTTGAATCTATCTATCTATCAAAAAATGTATAAAGTATAGATGGGAAGTTTTTGAAATATAAAATACAAATACAGTACAAAATATTTTTCGTTGAATACAATTTCTGCAACCCCTATGAGTCTGTCGTTTTGAATTGTAAATATTCTCTCTTCTAAAGTTGAAGTTTTTCTGATTTTGAAAAAAATGCCACAATTATGAAAGGTGCAATCAAATAAAATAGGTGAACATGAGAATTATTTTGGTTTTAAATCGAAATTTTGCTTGATAATCTGTAATGTATTTTCAAATTTAGAACACTTGAATTTAACATTTTGTGTTGAAGCTATAAAAAATTCTACTTTACTCTTTACCAAATTTTGAATTTTTTCGTCCTCTGTACAAAAAATCAAATGTCAGGCATTGCAAACCTAACTTTTGAAGCAATCAAAAACTTTTATAAAGAAAGACTTTTCCGTATCTTTCACTTTTATCTGCTCTTTTATCTAACTGACAAATGCATATACAAGATTTTTTATTTAAAATCTAAGAGTGCAAAAATATTCAGAATGAACACCTTTACGCTACCATAAAGTTTATCGAAATGGGAAACTTTCGCCTAGTAAAAAAAGGATCTTGCCAGATCAGTGGAAATAATTTCTTTGTTAGCAAATTAGATTGAAACTTGATTATTATATATACGCTTACTGAAAAAGGAGGCTAGTTTTGTTTGCAGTAAATTGGATAAATTATTAGATTAAATATTTGAAACATGGCATAAATAAGAAAATTTATTTTTTTGCATTTTGCATAATGTTTCGGACAATTCCTTTATTGATTTCTTAATCTGTATGTAGGATATATTTGTCACCTAGATTGTTTCATATATTAGTGATTATTATTTTCAATTGCCCGAATTATAGATATGAAAAAAGCCAAATTTAGTTTCAACTGAGAGTAGACGCTAGAGCTATCGAGTGATCCAGATTCAATTGCAACAATATTTAATTCATTGCATGCAATCGTGCTGTTTGTGTTTGGATATGCAACATTGTACTTAGTACTTAATTTATTATTATATTCCCGTTTTTTTTTTGCAAAACTGGGTCAAAATAGACTAAATATAAACTCGCACATGTCGTAATGAACATTCTTAATGAACCAGTGGAGGAGCCGGAAACAATGTAAAAGCAGGAAGTTGAAAAAGAACAACTCTTTCTTTGGGCCGCAGCTGTTGCCCATATTCTCATATTAGAACAAATCGCTTACGACCGAATGGGTAGCTCAACAGTTACCATGTAAACTTTATATTTGTAGTTATTCTAAAATAAAGTCTACGGGGATGAGAAATGACAATTTCTAGAAGCAACTAATTCGATCAACTGTAGAAAAAAAATTGCGAAGTCAAAGTCAAATCGAATAATCATATAAAAAGTTTTAGTTAAAGGTAATTTTAGAGAAAAACGCAATTAAATGGAAGCGAATCAATCTTACTAATCAATACTAAACTTATCTTGCATATATATAAACAATCTGTACAAAATGCACAATGTACAATATACAATGTACAAAAAGGACGCTCTGTATGCCATCTATATATAACTATACTATAATTATTTTGTGGCACATTTTTACTGAAATTTAAAACAAGAACTTTTATTCTATTAAGGGATATACGCATAGATACAGATATGAAAAAATATTTGCGACCTTCAATTTTGACGACACCCAACTCAAGCTCTGCCCATGAAAACAGTTATCGAAATCTGCATTATTAATAAATGTTCCCAAACATTAAAACCAGAAGTCATTTTTGACAAGAAATACGCAGGGACCTTTAAAGTTGACCAGCTTAAATCAAGCGTAAATATGTAAACGATAATATCTTAATTGATGATTAATATAGATACTTTCATAAAAAAAGAAATCGCTATTATTGAATTCTGCAAAAGGTTCAAAACCAAACGTGTTCGTTAGCCACAAAGGGTGTAACCGCTGTGAAAATAAATTGCCGATGCAGGTCAAAAGCTACACGTCACCACTGTTTTATTTCTAACGAGAGGGTGGAAATAATTGCTAACAGACCCAGAAAATTTCTCAATTTATATTAATTAAACCGAAAGGTCTTGTCAGATTCTTTCAAAATAGTTGCGCAAACATCGTTTTTATTAACTGCGGAAGCTTGAAATTTTTCAAAAAAAAAATATTTCTGTTATTTTCTGTTATTTGTCGTGACTGTGCTATTTTCTAGCGAAACGCGTGTAACTTACGACAATCAAATTAATTAATTAATTCTTAACTTTATTTAATAGGTAAAATTAATTTGATTCTATGTGGCACTGTAATTTTTCGACATTTTGCATTTTTTCTACCACTCTACTTGCCTGCTTTAAAATTCCTAATTATGCGCATATTAGGTGTGATTTTTCAAATAACATAATAGCACAATTTTATAAAACACTTAATTTTGGCAATTATGTACAGGGTGAGTTAACGATATAGATATATATCAAATGGTAAATATAAAAGTTGTACAGATTGTTAGGATACACAATGTAAAATTATTTTAAATTATACAGTGCGGCTAGAAATTGCGCGACGAATAAAACATTGTTTTAAATGCAAACCCTATTTTTAAATTTTGTTTTGCATGCCTTTTAAAATTCTTCAACTTTCTTTTTATTAATAATACCTAAACCTAATAGCTTTCTCAATATTTTAATTTTTCTATATTCGTAAAGCGTCATTCGAAGGTGATGTAGCAGATATATACAATGGAATTTAATATAATCAAATGTATGTATTTTAGAGATCTTAGATCTTACAAAAACCTACAACTTTTAGTAATTATGTCATATCCCTTTTTTAAGACTTTGAGATTTATTTTAATTTTTCCAATATTTGCCCTTGTGTCTGTCTAAGACTACTGCTAGTACATGAGTTGGTCATGACAATATGACATTGTCAAATTTTTACCTGACAACTGAGTGAATAAATTCATAAAATTTTCCTAAAGCTGAATTGATGGATATGATTTACATATTAGGCGAACCGGAAAAAAATACTTTTTTTATTAGTAGGACTTTACTTTAAAATGCCGCATCCAAACTTACTGACAATCTGTCATCGGCCATATTAGTTGCTAAATGCCGCAAGGTCGTTGGTTAAAAATTAAATTTTAGATTTCGTGCATGCGTATGTTGAATAAATATTTTCATTTTTTTTACATAATTGCTTCATGCGTTCCTGCGCTATCAGCATAGGCAAGGCTCTATAGCTGGATAAACCGGAATTAATAACAACCAGATAAAAGAATTAAAAAATTTAATTCAAGTTTAAGATAATCCACAGGTCAGTAGCCGTCAAGTAGCTGGCTTATGTGATATATCCCAATATGCCGTTAATCGCACCACTAGAAAACACAAATTTCATTTCTTTCATATGGAAATACTTCAAGAACTTCTAGACTGTGATTTTGAACAAAGTGTAAACTCCAGTATCGTTATAAATGAAGCAATAAAGGCCGATCCAATTTTTTTTCTTTCTAAAATAATGTTTTCTGATGAAGCTACTTTTCGCAGTAATGGTGCAACAGCTAATCCATTCTGAGTACGGGAAACACAAAACCAAAACCATTGGTCATTTAATGTGTGGTGTGGAATAAAACACTTTAATGTTATTGGACCATATTTTTTCGCG